GTGAACTGTAACGGGTGTGGTTGGAGAGTGTCACTGGCCATGCAAATGCCCAAACCCTTCATTCTAATTTACCTTCAGCAATGAGAGCCTCGGGGTCGATTGGCACTGGGGGAAGGAAGGATCTTTTCAAATCTTTGGAATTTGCCGTGTGTCAGGTTAGGTGAATGGCTTGTCCCTTGGACGTGTCTCAGGAGCCAGGGAGAACACTGTTGTGATCTGCTCTCTACCAGTCACTGGTGTCCAGACATTTCTCATGGCCCATCTTATTCATCTCCTTTGTAAGGTAACAATCCCTGTCATCTACCTCTGTCCATCATTCTCTGAACCCCTCTGGCTCTGCAGGATCCTGGCTGAGCAGGGTGCACCATACTACACAAAGGAGTCCACAGGAAGATGAAACATTGACTTACTGGTCTGAGGGCATTGCGCTTTCTGCAAGGTTCCACCTCCCACTCCTCCTGGGTCTCAGTGTCCACAGTTTATACAGTTATATGAAACCTTCGTTAGGTTTCTGTGGAACTCAAGCATTTTCCCTCTGCTAGGCACATGTTATAGTTACTGACTTTGATGTTCATCTTCCGTCAGGATGCCCAGTGACCTGGTTTGGTTGGATCCCTCCAGCGATGTCTCTTGATGCAACTGTGACCAAAATGATTAGATGCCACCTGTAAATATTGCCACTTCCCTGCTACCCACTTTCTAAATTGGTCACAACTGTACATATTTACTGTCCTGTTTGTAATAACGTCGGTGACCCTCTCACTGTGCCTCTCTCCCTTCCCAGGCACCCGGAGCCTTTCTTAGACCCACCAACGTCCTGACCAATGCATGGCAGATTTCAATCGCACGCCTGCTGGCTCTTCAACTTTCATCCTAATGGGTTTTCCAGGCCTGGAAGCTGCCCACGTCTGGATTTCCATCCCTTTCTCTCTGTGCTACGTCATCGGCCTGCTGGGGAACGTCACAGTTGTGCTTGTGGTAGGCAAGGAGCAGGCCCTGCACAAGCCCATGTACCTACTGCTCTGCATGCTGGCACTCACCGACATCGGCATGTCCACCTCCGTCATGCCTAGAGCACTGTGTCTATTTTGGTTCAATGTGAAGGGCGTGACTGTGGAAGGCTGCCTCACCCAGACATTCTTCATTCACACATTTGCAGTTATGCAGTCAGCTGTCCTGGTGACGATGGCCTTCGATCGCTACGTGGCCATCTGCAACCCTCTGAGATACACCACCATCCTCAGCAATGCCCGGGTAGCTACGCTAGGGCTGGTGGGTTTGATAAGAGCCATCCTCTTCATTCTGCCCATGCCCCTGCTCCTGAGCAGGCTGCCATTCTGTGCCAGCCATGTCATCCCCCACACGTACTGCGAGCACATGGCTGTGGTGAAGCTGTCGTGTGGGGACACCACAGTCAACCGCATGTATGGTCTGGTGATCGCATTTGTAGTCACCGGGCTCGACCTGACCCTCATCCTCCTGTCCTATGGGCTGATCATCTGGGCCATCCTCAGAACTTCTTCCAAGAAAGGCCACCAGAGAGCTCTCAGCACCTGCACGGCCCACCTCTGTGTGATGCTGACGTCCTATACTCCTAGCCTCTTCTCTTACCTAACCCATCGGTTCGGCCAGGGCATCCCTCCCCATGTTCACATCTTCTCAGCCAACCTCTATCTCCTTGTTCCTCCCATGCTCAACCCCATCATTTATGGGGTCAAAACCAAAGAGCTTCGTGACAAAGTGGGCAAATACACCTGTAGAGTTTGTTCTTGTGGGGTCACTGGCATTCACCGTGTGTGAGAAGAGGGGGGGAAGGACACATCCTCGTTAAGGAAGGGAGTTCTGTCCCGGTTTGGCTGAGCTCAGCATTGTGGAAGTTCACAGTCTGAGAAGTGCCTGATACCTAGTATCTTGAAAAAACAACGAATTGTCTGGTAGCACTTTATAGACTAACAAAACATGTAGATGGTGTCATGAGCTTTTGTGAGAACAGCCCACTTCTTCAGATGACCGGAGTGTTGGATGTCTAGGGACAAAATAAATAAGTGGAAGAAGGGAAAACTGAGAAGTGGGGGAACAAGAAAAGGCAGCGGGTAAAATATTTGTCATGGAAAAACCGAGTCTCTAAACATTTAAAGACTAGATAGTCAAAGGGGGCAGATAATAACTATTAATTAGCAAACAACAAAGAGTCAGGAAACACTTATTACTCCGTCCTCAAGCACGGCTCCTCCATTGCTGGGTTCCCTCTCCCTGACCATCGTTGACCTGTTTGAGTGTCACCTTTCCGCTCCCAACCCAGCAAACCCCAACTTTGCCTTGCCATGACTTCCAGACCACAAAACATACCGCAACTGTCTGGCCCAATCTCGGGCCTCCATGACATCAGTTGCCTGATATCTCATTTTTCCCAATCTTTGTGGAGATCTTGGTGAGTTGGAGCAGCCAGGGGAAGTTCTGCCCATGGTTCATTGGCTCCAAACTTAGGACAAATCAAATGAGCAATTTGGGGTTGAAGCTCTTTAACACAAAGCTACTGCTGAGGTCAAAAACGTTAGTGAACTTGGTCATTTGACCTTTCATTGTGTTGGCTCCTTTTTAGCAACACTGCCGACAAAAGAGGGTTTTCTCAGATGAACTTGATAAAACAAACCTGAGCAGCCACATCCCAGAGGAACGTCTATAAAATGTTCTTCATGCTGGGGCATATAGGAAGCAATGTAAAATCTGTTCGGATAGTTTGCACCAGTGAAAGAAGTGATTATAGTGCCACTGCTCCTAGGCTTGAACATCAGCCGAAGCATTCGACTTCTGAGAATGACTGTGAGCGTAAAATGTTGCCTTCTAGAGCCTACCCGCAACAAAGTAATTCAGCATGAACCATCGACATTGGCCACTGCCACTGAACGGCTTCAGAAATGAAAAGCACGAGAACGTTATTATTGTGCTACATGCATGTTGGTCTCCTTCGGACTAGTTTAACACTGTGATTCGCCGTTGTTTGCTAATGTGAATAATCACCTACTTGTCCTTTTCTTAAGAAAAGAACTCAGCCCTTTGGTAGGTATCTAACGAAAGCTTTGTGGTGCTAGTGGACATGTCGACCAACATGGTAATAAAACAGCTGGTGGACTGGGCCCTTTGCATTGGTTTTGTAAGTGACATCGGGCCATTTGCACAGTGGTAATCTGGCAGGCTTTCAAGCTGAGCTGGAGGCAGAGAGCAGACACTGGAACGACAGCGGCCAGAGAAGCAGCCGAGAGGGTGAATCTGGGTGGGAGGCAGAGCAGAAGTGATGCTGAGCTGGAATAGGGGCTGCAGGCAGAGCAGCAGAGCTAAGGCAGGACTGGGAGCTGGGGCAGGGAGCCAGGAGGGTGGACCCCGGCCACACCACAAGTAACACAGCAGCTGAGCACAGTGAACCACTGGGGCGTGAGATGGGTTATGGACAGAGGGCCCAGCACAGGGAGAGAGCACAGCCAGGCCTGGGCAGGAGGCCTGGGATGTGTGAGGAGCAGACTGTGGACCTTCTTGACCTCCTGGAGATGCAGTTTGTGACGTCCCGGTGCCCACAGAGGGGGTGTGTCTTTCTTCCATGAAATGTTCTGTTTCCTCCCCAGTTTTCTATCCGTTGTGCAAACAGTTGGGTTTGGCTTGAGCTTTGTGTGCTGATCATGGGTCAGAGAAGTGGTGGGAGCATCTCCTGTCCTAGGTGATCCCAAAGACACTGGGGTCCAGCCCAGGGCTGGCCTGTGAGGTGGGTGGTCAGGGCAAAAGGGGAGGAACGGAAGAGGTGGGGGTTTGACACCTCCCATGTGGCCTGACCTGCTCACCAAGATCCAGCTGGCCATCTGGAACCAGCAAGCAGCCACCCTGGTGTGGGACAAGCGATGTGATGGGTTGCTCCAAGCTGCAGTGGGACCAGGCAGGTACTGAGCCAGGTCAGTCCTCCGGTGGCAGCGGGGGGCACAGGGCCGAGGGACCTTGAATTAGCAGCTGTGCCTGGCACAGAGCTGGGCTGGAAGAGGCTCTCTGGAGAGGGCAGCTGGCATGGGGAGATGGGGGAAGAAGTGCATTTTCCAGCAGCCCTGTCCTAGCTGGGGGCATGGAGCCTCCCTTCTAGCTAGGGTGTGTGTGTGGGGGGGGGCACACTATTCTCCCCTACAAGCCCCAGGCTGGCCCAGGTAAGGGAGCACACACCCATCTCCATGCAGATGAGAACCATACTGTCTCTGGAGAGGGCAGCTGGCATGGGGAGATGGGGGAAGAAGTGCATTTTCCAGCAGCCCTGTCCTAGCTGGGGGCATGGAGCCTCCCTTCTAGCTAGGGTGTGTGTGTGGGGGGGGGCACACTATTCTCCCCTACAAGCCCCAGGCTGGCCCAGGTAAGGGAGCACACACCCATCTCCATGCAGATGAGAACCATACTGATGGGGGGTCGGGGGTGGAGAGGGTGGCACATCCCTCCCTGCAGAGGGGGGGCATGCAGGGTACAGAACCACAGTTCCATGAATTGCTAATTATACCAAAAACTGGATAAATAGCCCAGAAGCCCAGACATGGACACAGAGACGCTGGTTGCAGTGTCTCCAGTCTCCAGCCTGTTGGCTTCCAGATGCTGCTTCTCCCCCCGGCCCGAGGCTGAGAGAACCCCCCCGGGACGGCCCAGAGCTGTTATAACCAGTGCACAGCCCTGTGCCGGCTCTCGGCGCGGGACGCTGCTGCAGGCGCTGGGCTGAGAGAGGTGCGGACGCGGCTGCCTGAGGGGGGTTCCAGGGAAGACACGTCCCTCTCCGCACTCACAGGTACCAGCTCTGACTGAGGGGCTCCCCTGCTCCACCGCCCCAGGGAGGCATGAGTGTGATGGGTCAGAGAGTCAGTCTAGGGCCCTTTGTGCTCTGCAGAACTCCTAAACATCCCAGGTCCCTTGGCATAGGGGATGAGTTTGCTACTGTGTCCTCTTTTCTGTGCACCCCAGCTGATCCCTAATGATGTGCTACAACCCAGAGGTGGCTGCATTTCAGCGGCACAGGGGATCCTTCTGGAGCTGAGGAATTAGTCGATGTACAATACGGGGCTGTGCCTAGGACTTTGCTCAGGCCTCACTGAAACAAAACTCCCCTTGGAGTAAGAATGGATAAAGAGCTGAGGAGGCAGCTGCGTGCCCTGCACAGACGCTGTCCCCTCCTCCTCCGGCATGGCAGGGCTCTGGCTGACCGTGGGGCTCTTTCCTGGGAAGCGTGGAGGTGCCAGGGTTCCGCCCTGCAACCATTGAACCCCCTTTTCAGCAGAGGCAAGACCACGGTTCCCGGGGGCTCCGGTGAAGCGCCACAGCCGAGCTGCTGTGATGCTTTCAGTCCCAACAAGCCCTCAAGCCAACACCCAGAACAGCCTCCGGCCTGGCTCTGCCAGCACTGGGAGTTGGAGAATCCAGCCCTCCCCTTGCAGTCTCTCTGCAGGGGGAATCACGCTCAGGGCTCAGCCGTTAGCCTGGATTTCCAGCTGGAATTCGTCTGGCTTCAGCCTCCAGCCTCTGGGCCTGGCGCTTCTCATCTCGGTGAGATCCCAGCGCCCGACATTCCCGGTGGTTCCGCCCCAGCCCAGTCTCTGCCTGAGCCTAGTTTGATACAATAATGAGATGAGGGTTTGGGTCTCTCTCTGGATGGGATTTGACGCAGCCTCCCCCCATCTGTGCGGCTCTTTTCCTCCCCCGCTCCCAGTTCGGGTCCCGCGATCTCACCCAGGCGCTTTCACCGATGCCGTGTGCAAGGGGGAAACCCTGCCCCTGCGCCAGCTCACAGCTCTGCTGTTCACACGACCAGGAATCCCAGCGTCCCTTGGCCACAGCCCGGCACTGGAGCTCCCCACGAGGCGGTTGTCTATTCCAGGCTCTGTTTGTTCCAGGACATGGGGCTCTCATCTCCTTTATCTTAGGAACATAGAGAGACATACAATCCCAGGCCTGGCAGGGACCATGGGAGGCCCTCCAGCCCCGGCCCCTTTCCTCACACAGGGCTGGTCAGTCCTAGGCCGGTGCTGGGCAAGCTGCAGCCCCCGGCCACACACAGCTGCTGAGGAGAATGGGACCGTGTTCTATTGTGCTACCATAGAAACATAGAAACGCAGAAACATAGAGTCCTAGGCCTGGCAGGGATGTGGGAGGCCCATGAGTCCCGTCCCCTTTCCTCACCCAGAGCTGAGCAGTTCCAGGCCGGTGCTGGGCAATCTGCAGTCCCCGGCCACACACAGCTGCTGAGGAGAATGGGACTGTGGCTGGGAGACATTTTGCTGACACCGACCATCCCCAGGCACCACTCCCACAGCTCTGCGTGGCTCTGTCCCTCTGTGCCCTGCCCAGGAGAGCGGTGGGAAGCGCGTCCCCCTCGCCTGCAGACCCTGCTCCCCACAGCTCCATTTCTAGATCTTTAATAAATTGTTCTCCCTCTTCCTTGTAACAGCCCCGCAGGTACTTGGAAGCGGCTACCATGTCCTCTCTCAGCCTTCTCTTTTCCAAACTAAACAAGCCCAGATCCTTCAGCTTTCCCCCATAGCTCATGGTTTCTAGGCCTTCAATTATTTTGTTGCTCTTCTCCGGACCCTGTTCAATCTTTCCTGAAATGTGGTGCCCAGGACTGGACCCAGTACTCCAACTGAGACCTAAGCAGTGCAGAGTCTTGGCTCTTGCTTACAACACTCCTGCTAATGCATCCCAGGACGATATTGCTTTTTGGTTTCAGCTGTGTTACACTGTTTATTCATATTTATTTTGTCTTCCCCAAGACTTCTCCCTGGGAGTCACTTTCCATTTTGTGTGTGTGCAACTGACTGTCCCTTCCTAAGACTTACTTTGGAGTGAATCCCATTCCAAGGTTTCCATTGTCTCCTAATTGTGTCAAATCTTTGTTCAAAGTTTGCCTTTATTTTGAATAGTTTATGTTGAGACAGAAACTTCCCTCTATTTGCCTTTTTTGACTGTTTCCGGCTCTGCAAAAGCAGGCTGAGAACTTCTGCTTCTGAATGAGATGTCTGGTTGATCGGTCAGTCTCCTCCCCTTATGTGGGATAGGTAGCTTATTCTGCTTCTTTTCAAATGCACAAATCCCCCAAACCCTACGTCTTGTACACATTTACCTTTTCTGCAACATTAACTAGTTTCCTTTCTCCCGCTAGGAATTGGACTAAACTTACAGGCTGTGTCTAGACTGGCAAGTTTTTCTGCAAAAGCAGTTGCCAGCTGTCTACACTGGCTGCTTGAATTTCCGCAAGAACACTGACGATCTCATGTAAGATTGTCAGTGTTGTCGCGGAAATACTATGCTGCTCCCGTTCGGGCAAAAGTCCTTTTGCGCAAATGATTTGCGCAAAAGAGCCAGTGTAGACAGCTCAGATTCATTTTGCGCCAAAAAGCCCCAATCACGAAAATGGTGTTCAGGTCTTTTTTCCGCAAAAGTGCGTCTAGATTGGCACGGACGCTTTTCTTCAAAAAGTGCTTTTGCGGAAAAGCATCCGTGCCAATCTAAACGCTCTTTTCCGCAAATGCTTTTAACAGAAAACTTTTCCATTAAAAGCATTTGCGGAAAATCCTGCCAGTCTAGACGTAGCCACAGAGTTCTTGGTTCCTAATATAATTAATTAACTCCTGCTTGTGATCCTTAGCATGGCCAAGAATGGCTTTTTCCCTGATAGCTTTAACATCCCCTATCAATTTTCTCAGTGCCCGATTTGTATTGCTTGCCCTCTGCTTTCCCTTGCCCCCATTTGTTATAGATTGCTATCCGCCATTTACAGCCTTACATTCGGCACAGAACTGATTTTTTCATGAATGCTTCACACTTACTTAACTGTAGACTTGTGACTTTTGAGATCCCTACTAACCTCATCCAAAAGGACGCCCAATTTGCATTCCCGTGTTTCTAGCTCACATTTCCCCGAATCGGTTGTGATGATATATGGATATCACTGGCTGGGAACTGCTCTCTCCTTGGCCAATGCAACGCGATCAGTTCTGTTCTTTGTTTTCTTCTCCTCTATCATATATTCCCTTGTTTTCTCTCCTCTCCCAAACAATCCCAGACTTTTTGGTTGGCCCTGCACATGGCGGCCTCCCCCTGTCCCATCGTCTTTCTCTGATCTCCCTTTCTATCTGCTGTACCCTCTGTGGAGACCAAAGCTGAGCACATGTCCGACAAGGTGATTCTCCATCCCATTCCTCCGCCATCAAACATGGGCTTTCCTTCAGCCTCGGCTGGCAATGAGCGGGGGTTTCCATGGTGCTGATAGCAGTGAGGACTGGGTGTTTTCCCCGAGATGTGTTTCCTGCTGTTTTCTTGCATGGCTTCCCACAGCACGAGGTGTAGACATGATTGACACAGGCAGCACCATATACTGCGGAATTGCCAGGAGTGGGGTCTGTGATGGGTGTGGTCACAGAGACCCCACGGGGTGCTGACAAAACCTCTGCCACTCACCTTCCTGCTCTCTAGGGCTTCTCACCACCTGGTCTCCCCTAGCCAAGGCCCTGAGCTCGGAGCAGTACAGACACAGAACCTCTTTAGGACAATGTAGTTTCAGGCCCAGGTTCCTGGGATACCCCTCCCCAAACGGGATCAGAACTCCCAATGAGTGACTTGGGTAGGCCCCCTTGAGCAATGGAAGGGGGATGCACACGCTGATTGCTTCCCCAGGTACAATTGTTTACACTGGGCTTAATCGAATATCTAAAGGAGAATGTTTGTATGTTTGTGCTCTAATAACTTGGACCCTAGGGTGTGTCTAAATTACATGGCACCATCGATGGAGCCATGTAGATTAGGCTGATGGCAAAGGGAAATGAAGCTGCGATTTAAATAATCGCGGCTTCATTTAAATTTACATGGCTGCCGCGCTGAGCCGACAAACAGCTGATCAGCTATTTGTCAGCTCAGCGTGCTAGTCTGGATGCTCCCGCGCCGACCTGAAAGCCCTTTATCGACCTCCCCGTTATGCTTCGTAGGATGAGGTTTATCAGGTAGGTTGATAAAGGGCTTTCAGGTCGGCAGGGGAGTGTCCAGACTAGCGTGCTGAGCCGACAAACAGCTGATCAGCTGTTTGTCGGCTCATCGTGGCAGCCATGTAAATTTAAATGAAGCCGCGATTATTTAAATTGCTGCTTCATTTCTCTTTGCCGAACAAACATATCTACATGGTTCCATCAACAGAGCCATGTAGTTTAGGCGTACCCTATAAGAGCTACCACAGCCAGACTTTGCATGGGATACCCTTTCCTCCAGGAGAAGGTTTTAAGGTACTTTTGGACCTGATTGGGGTCCCGTCCTGCCGCAGAAGGACAGAAGGAATCCGTGTGCCTGCTGCAGCGCAGGGCGGAGGGGCCAGGTTAAACCCTCCATGCATTACACTGCTGTGACGCCAGCCGGTTGCTGTTCGTACTGTGAGTGGGGCTCTTCTGGGTCTGGTTCCAGCCATTGGGGTTAGATGTGAGCTCCGAGCTTTTGCTTGCCAAGGCAGGGCAGGTGGGTCCCTGAGCCAACCTTGCAAAGAGAAGTCCCCTTGCTACTGGCTGCATGGCTGTGTACTGTTCTACCGGGGGCTGGCTGCTGGGTCCTGGGGGGAGGAGGATCCTGCTGCTCTCAGTTGCTTTAAGAGGAGCATTAAGAGGAGCATTGCCAGCAGATCCAGAGATGTCATCATTCCCCTTTATTCAGCTCTGGTGAGGCCACATCTGGAGTATTGTGTCCAGTTCTGGGCCCCCCACTACTAAAAGGATGTGGACGCTTTGGAGAGGGCCCAGCGGAGGGCAACCAAAATGATTCGGGGGCTGGAGCACATGACCTATGAGGAGAGGCTGAGGGAGGTGGGTCTGTTTAGTCTGCAGAAGCGAAGAGTGAGGGGGGATTTGAGAGCAGCCTTCAACTTCCTGAAGGGAGGTTCCAAAGAAGATGAAGAGAGGCTGTTCTCAGTGTGGGCAGATGGCAGAACAAGGAGCAATGGTCTTAAGTTACAGTCGGGGAGGTCCAGGTTAGATATTAGGAAAATTATTTCACTAGGAAAGTGGTGAAGCACTGGAATGGGTTACCTAGGGAAGTAGTGGAGTCTCCATCCCTAGAGGTATTTAAGTCTCGGCTTGACAAAGCCCTGGCCGGGTTGATTTAGTTGGGGTTGGTCCTGCCTAGGGCAGGGGGCTGGACTCGATGACCTTCTGAGGTCTCTTCCAACTCTATGGTTCTATGATTCTATTATTCTATGACTCAGAGGATCAGATGTGGGCCAGGAGCCATCAGCCCCCAGGATCTGTGGCTCTGGGGGTCCCCTGGCTCAGGGTCTCCTCCTTTCCTAAATTTTCTAAATTTTGTTCCTCCGGTTTCCTGAGCAACGCTGGATAAGTCCAGCTGGTAGAAAATAAAAGTGATTTTATTCAGCAGAAGCAGAAGGATTTAAGTGGCTGCAAGTGAGCACAGGCAGAGCAAAGTAGGTTACAAATTTAAAATCACAAAAAAGGCAGAGCTAGTTCTAACGTTTATTACAAATGTTCCTAAAATTGTTCTTCCAGCTAAGCCTCCAAAGCAGGGCAGTTCCTTTTTACCCGGAGGTCTCTGGTGCATTCTCTTGGGTGTGCCATGCCAGCCAAAGACCAAGAACTGAAAAACTTTACATCTTAAATAGGCTCCCTTTCAGGCAGGAATTCTCCCTTTTACATTATTCCCTTCCATGGAAAGTTACCTGGTCAGCCCCTACCAGTTGGGGGGCTCACACTGCCATGCCAGCCAAAGACCAAGAACTGAAAAACTTTACATCTTAAATAGGCTCCCTTTCAGGCAGGAATTCTCCCTTTTACATTATTCCCTTCCATGGAAAGTTACCTGGTCAGCCCCTACCAGTTGGGGGGCTCACACGACTTCCTAACACCAACCACTGCTAAGACTCGAAGGACAAAAAGGGGCTGTTTCTCTCAGTGTCTGGATGATCACTTGAAAACACCCTTGATGGCTTCTGTTTGCACATTTAAAACCATGAATTATTCCCTACCCCATATATCTAACTCTATATACAAGAGAGATACACACACCAAAATAAGCAATGCAGATCCAGCAGATTGAGACATTGTAATTGATGGGTTACTTGAGGTATTTTGTCCACAGCATCTTCAAGTTATACCCATCCGTGTCCATACGTCAATTTCATAAAACATGGCGGGGGCAGTTCACAATTCATTTCTCTGAACAATGAAAAGGTCATTTTTCAGTGTGTGATGAACAACCAAACTGCTTCACCATGAGAACAGCCTCCCTCAGTGCATGTCATGCCTCACACAAACATTCTCTGTCCTTTCAGACACTAGTACCGTGACCTTTGCTGTAGATCCTGGGCCCACACAGGACGTGCAATTGACACCCTTCTACCTGAGAGTTGGACACCTTCTCCCCTGCTCCATGTCAGAGTCCAACACAACCCACTTCACCAACCCCTCCACCTTTGTCTTGCTGGGTATTCCTGGCCTGGAAGCGGCCTATGTCTGGATCGCCATCCCCTTCTGCTTCATGTACGTCATCACCATCTTGGGGAATCTCACCATCCTGTTCATTGTGAAGATCGATTTGAGCCTCCATGAGCCCATGTACTATTTCCTCTGCATGCTGGCCATCACCGACCTGGTCCTGTCCACCTCCACCCTGCCGAAAATGCTGAGCATCTTCTGGTTCAATTCCAAGGAGATCGATTTCAATGTCTGCCTCACCCAGTTGTACTTGGTTCATTCCTTCTCAGCGATCGAGTCTGGGATCTTCGTGGCCATGGCTTTGGATCGCTACGTGGCCATTTGCCATCCTCTGAGACATTCCAGCATTCTGACAAATGCGGTGGTGGCCAAGATCAGTCTGGTTGTGGTGCTGCGTGGTGGCATTCTTGCATTACCCTACCCCTTCCTGGCGAGGCAGTGGCCGTATTGCAGAACCAATATCATCCCCTACACGCACTGCGAACACATGGATGTGGTGAAGCTGGCCTGTGCTGACATCCGTGCCAGTAGCTACTATGGACTCTTTGTGCTACTCTGTAGGATCGGTCTGGATGTGTTATTCATTGCTGGGACCTATGTCCGGATCCTCAGGGCCATCTTCCGCCTCCCCACAAAGGATGCCCGGCTCAAGACTTTTGGGACCTGCACTTCCCACATCTGTGTCATCTTAACATTTTACACTCCAACTCTCTTCGCCTCCCTCACATCCCGGTTTGGCCACAATATACCCCTGCATTTCCACATTCTCATTGTCAACATTTACCTCCTGGTGCCACCCATGCTAAACCCCATCATCTACGGAGTGAGGACCAAACAGATCCGGAGCAGGCTGTTTCGGCTTGTTACCCCAAAAAGGATCTAAACATTTTCTCCTGGTGCTCTGACAGGTAAAACTCAAAGCTGCATAGGCACAAGGAGATTTGGGGCACCAAATTGCCCCAAATGTCATGGTGCCTTATAGAATCATAGAATCATAGAATAATAGGACTGGAAGGGACCTCGAGAGGTCATCGAGTCCAGCCCCCCGCCCTCAAGGCAGGACCAAGCTCCGTCTACACCATCCCTGACAGATGTCTATCTAACCTGTTCTTAAATATCTCCAGAGAGGGAGATTCCACCACCTCCCTTGGCAATTTATTCCAATATTTGACCACCCTGACAGTTAGGAATTTTTTCCTAATGTCCAATCTAAACCTCCCCTGCTGCACTTTAAGCCCATTACTCCTTGTCCTGTCCTCAGAAACCAAGAGGAACAAATTTTCTCCTTCCTCCTTGTGACACCCTTTTAGATATTTGAAAACCGCTATCATGTCCCCCCTTAATCTTCTTTTTTCCAAACTAAACAAGCCCAGTTCATGAAGCCTGGCTTCATAGGTCATGTTCTCTAAACCTTTAATCATTCTTGTCGCTCTTCTCTGTACCCTTTCCAATTTCTCCACATCTTTCTTGAAATGTGGCGCCCAGAACTGGACACAGTACTCCAGCTGAGGCCTAACTAGTGCAGAGTAGAGCGGCAGAATGACTTCACGAGTTTTGCTTACAACACACCTGTTGATACAACCTAGAATCATATTTGCTTTTTTTGCAACAGCATCACACTGTTGACTCATGGGGCTGCATGCAGCTGGCCATTGACAGGTCCAGTCCCTGGATCACCCCCCGCCCAGCTCTTCCTGCCCTATTCTCTGGCTGCCCTCCTCTCAAGTGTGGTCGGGCTTCCTCCCCTCCCTGGTTTTCCACCCCAGAGCTCAGTGCTCATCCCCCACTCATCAGGTGGCTGAAGGACTGACCAGGGGAAGCCATGCAACAGGCAGCTGGAGAGAAGACGCACTTTCCTGGGATGGGGGGCGGTCACAGACGCCTCCCCAGGTGCTGACGGCCACTGCCACTCACCTTCCTTGAGTTCCTCACCACCTGGTCCTGCTGGGCCAGCTCCCTGGCTGCCCCCAGCCAAGGCCCCGAGTTAAAGTCCCTGCCCCCCTCCCTCCCGCAAGAAGCAGCACAGACACTGAACCTCTTCAGGTTCAAGGAGAGTGAAGTTTAGGGCCCAGCTCCCTGGGACACCCCTCCCCAGAGGGGATCAAACCCCAATGAACGACCTGGGTAACCCCCTCCAGCAATGAACGGGGGAATGTGCCCACTGGTTGCCCCTCCAGGTAACAATCATTTACACTGGGCTTGATAGGAAATAAAAGTGATTGCATTAAGTACCAGCAGTGGGGTTGACGTGGTGATAAGTGAGAACAGGCCGAGTAGAGTCGGTTACAAATCAGAAGAAACAAAACCGCTTGGCTAATTCTCCACTGATATCTCAGAGCAAACTCTTCACACTCACCCTCAAATCTCTTCTCCAACTGTTCCCCCCAAACTAGGTCTGTCTCCCTGCTGGGGTCTTTGGCTTCTTCCCTCAGGTGCGGCTCAGCCAAAAGATCCAGGCCTCTCCTCTCCTATTCTTTTTGTTAAGGAGTTGAGGCCACTCCCTACCAAGCACTGCTCAGACTTAAGGATGAGGGTACCACCATCCATGTCTCTCTTTCACACATTTAAACCCACAACGTATTCCCCACTTCATGTGTCTAATTTTACACACCACATGGATGCCTACATGGAAGTAAGAGCAACAGACCCAGCGGGTCGTGACATCCAATGGACGGGTTACACACAATGATTCTCTCAAAGCACCGTTGAGTTACGTACATTCGTGTCCGTACGTCCCTTTCATAAAGCATGGGGGGGGGGGAGTCACATACCCCTTAAAAGCATCACTTCTCTCTAGCCGGCTGTGCAGCCACCTGGCCAGCCCACACCTCCTTCCCCTCCCCGTTCCTGCTTTGCCCACTCCCCTGGACCAGGCTTCAAAGCTGTGGTATCCCCCCAGTAAGGATCAGATGGCGAAGGTTACACAGATGTAACACTGCCCTCTGGGCATCGGGCAGTGGTCACCCCTAGTCGATCAGGATCTACCAGTAGATCTTGGCGCCTCTGGCAGGAGATCCTGACTGGTTTGTCCAAGAGGCTGTCAAGTGACAGCCCTTCAACTGCCCCTCCCCCCACCGCTGTCACGTTACTGAATTTTAAGGGGAGTAGCCAGATCATTGCTGCACCCATGGGGGGAGGGGCATATTTGCCCCAAAGGGCATACAAAGGGGGCCATGTGAGGTGTCACATGAAAGCTTCTGTTCTACTGATTCTGTGTCTGCTATTCATGTAATTGTATAATATCTGTGTGTGGAGTTATAAACATGGACTCTGTAGGGATGCTGGAAAATTCTCTGTCTGTGGCAGAGCACTGGGCAAGGGATGCTCAGCCAGTGGCTATGCTAATTAGCAAGGCTCCAGGGACAATAGATTTCTCAGTGCCGGAGACACACCTGAAGGAACGCCTGGATATCTGCAAGCCAGCCAGGATAATGGTTGCTGACTTGAGATGCAAGGATAGGTCAATGGACCATGTGACCTGCAGTGACCTGCTCTGGCCAGGAAGATGCCAGGAGAGGAATGTAAGTGCCATGTGGCACCCTCATACTGGTCTTCAGCTCAGCTCTTGATCCCAGAGGCAGCCTTGCAGGGAATCACAAGCCAGAAAGAACTTTGGACCCATCCTGACGTAGGATGTAAGCCAAAGACTTTTAAGCCAGCAGTTATAACATCTCTGCTACGAGCTTCTATCGAGAACTGGGAGATTTGATGCATGTAATCTATTATCCTTTAACAACCTCACTCTCATGCTTTTCTTTCTTAGTAATAAACCTTTTGATTGTAGATTCTAAAGGATTGGCTCAGCGTGGGCTTGTGGGTAAGAGCCAGAGGGTAAATTGACCTGGGAACTGTGCCTGCTTTCTTGGGACTGGAAGAACCCGTTCGGGGTAGGTGAGATCGGGTTCTATAACCCATCACCTGTGTGCAGGCCTGGGGCTGATTGGGGACAGGAAGAGCTGCGGTGTCGGAGGGGTTTTGCTCGTGAGGCTTCTTGCTGGCCAGACAGGCAGCTGAAGCGCTCGGTGCAACTGGTTGTGGCCTGTTTGGGAAGGGCCACCAGTCAGGGGTTGCAAGGAGCCCCGAGTTTGAACAATTCATCCTGAGTGGATGCCCTCAGATATGCCCAGACATGGACCGATCCGTCACAACTGCTCCTGCCCTTTGCCTTGGCACTGCCCCCCTGCACCCTCCAGGAACCTCCCGCTTCCTGTGCAGGGTGGGGGAGGGAGAGGAGGGTGCTGATCTCAGGGTGCCTCTCTCCCACCCGTATC